TGTACACTTGCCCCCACGAAGGATGTAACCTTCAATCTAAGTACATAGGTATGACGTCGACCAAGCTGACGAGGCGTTTGACCTGTCATCTTCAATCAGGTGCCTCCAAAAATCACATGAGACAAGCCCATGACATCACCCTAACAAGGGAAAAGTTGAATAAAAACACTTGTATAATAAACAAAACCCAAGATGTACGAAGATTATAAATTCTTGAAACAATCCACATAAAAATATAACAACCCACCATAAATACCCAAATTACGGAACTATTCACTCTACCCACCATGAGAGTAAGAACAAGACCGGAACGCGAAAATGCCAACATAGAAGACACTGCTCAACATGCTCCGCTCATTACACCTGATTAATCTCTGTATGTGGATTGGACATTTATGGTCTATATTTGTTTGTCCCCTTAACTCCCCTTGCCACTTCGGGGGGAGGGGGGATAAGGGTGTTGATCTAGCTAAGGATCCCAGCGACCCAGCCACAAGGCATGGGCCGCATAGACCCACAGCAGTAACCCTAAAAACATATTACACCTAAAAAAAAAAAAAATTCTTGTATGTGGCCTACGATGTAATAAAAAAAAAATACACGGAGGAAAAAAACGTATATATTAAAATATAACATAAGGAAACAAATTGAAATAGGGGCATGCCATCAAAGAGAATGAATTGCGTCTCAAAATGAGACGATCAGCCTTTACATGTCATGCGCGCATGGAAAATAAAAATCACAGGGAGAGGTATGCCTGGCTTGAAATAGTCAAGTCCCCGGAGAGGCAAAAGGAACATGCGCGCATGTGTCCTTCCGGCCGTAGCTTATCCTCTCACCGGTTCGGACAAGCCACCCACCATCTCCAATACAGCCACTGTGGAAGTGGTACCCCAAGATGACGTCCAGCACCCTAGCCAGAGTCCATTCAGCCAAGTTGCCTCCTGGGTATTCGAGGCACAAGGGTAAGGCCACCCATGCCCATGTCCAGGGATGATCATTATCTACCCCTTCCCGTGCTCTTGGACCACATGAGATAAATCGCGTACGTCCAGGTTAGGGCTTTGACGGAAAAGATCTTTAAGTCCCCATTAGCCAAGCCCAACCTCTTAAGAACAAGGGCACTCTCATTGCAGAACCCACCGCTCCAATTCAAGGTGATTGAGGAGGCAGAAACTGCATTGGCACCGGTATAGTCCCTAACCCACTGAAGGATCTCGGGGGGTGCCATACCGGTCACACTTGCTCTGGTGTGGCCGGGAGAGTGGAAAGCCGACAGCCGAGACCTGGGTGTCTAAAATTATGGCCTCGTTACTTTTGCAAGCAATGATATCCGGCTTGCAAAAGGCCCCACCATCGGGTAACCGTACCTCCCTCACCACCTCATACCCTCGCTGTCCAACCCGTTCTCGCAAATTCGTAAAGTCAATATTGACTTATTAACTACGTGCATAGGTGATATACTAAACATAATAGATACCCTTAAAAAGGATCATAGAAAACACCGACCTTACCTAACCTTGTTAGTATCTTAAGATAAGCATCTTATTGCTTCGTAATTACAATTATTACTTAACCTATACCTATTATAGGTTAGGTAATAATTGTAATTACGAAGCAATAAGATGCTTATCTTAACATACTAAGTAGGTTAGGTAAGGTCGGTGTTTTCTATGAATCTTTTTAAGGGTATCTATTATGTTAAGTATGTCACCTATGCACATATTTAATAAGTCAATATTGACTTATTAAATTTGCGAGAACGGGTTGCGCTGTCTCAATCGACCAGCTACGAACAGGGTGATATTGTCATGACGTACCACCCGTGCTCCGTGCGTACGAAACCTTCGTACCTTCGTTTCGTGTATCTTCGAAACCTCTTTAGCGATTCCTCTGAAATTTTGACACAACGTTGTTTGGCGTGTTGTTTTTACATAGTATATATATATATATATATATATATATATATATATATATATATATATATATATATATATATATATATATATATATATATATATATATATATATATATATATATATATATATATGTCGTACCTAGTAGCCAGAACGCACTTCTCAGCCTACTATGCAAGGCCCGATTTGCCTAATAAGCCAAGTTTTCCTGAATTATTATATTTTCTCTTATTTTTTTTCTTATGAAATGATAAAGCTACCCCATTTCGTTATGTATGAGGTCATTTTTTTTATTGGAATTAAAATTAGCGTAGATATATGACCGAACCAAACCAACCCTACCTAACCTAACCTAACCTATCTCTATAGGTTAGGTTAGGTTAGGTAGGTTAGGTAGTCGAAAAACAATTAATTCATGAAAACTTGGCTTATTAGGCAAATCAGGCCTTGCATAGTAGGCTGACAAGTGCGTTCTGGCTACTAGGTACGAAATATATATATATATATATATATATATATATATATATATATATATATATATATATATATATATATATATATATATATATATATATATATATATATATATATATATATATATATATATATTATTAAATATGACCGAAAAAGTAAGATTAATAATTCTAACACGAATTTTCTCAATCTTTCGTACATTACGCTTCACTGTTGGAGGTAAATCAAAAATCACTTCTCCAAAATTCATTTTTATTTCTAGTCTGATGCGACACGGGCGCGTTTCGTAAAACTTATTACATTTTCAAAGACTTCACAAATACACAACTGATTAGAACGTATCTCTGATTTTATATCTACATTTGAGTGAGGTGGGAAGGGTGATGTGGCATTAACACAAGACAGAACAGGAGGGGATATTAATAGGGTATTAAAAGTATCAACACAAGACAGAACAGAAACAATGGGTATTGAATAGAAGTGTTTGTAGAAAGCCTATTGGTCCATATTTCTTGATGCTTCTATATTGGAGCGGAGTCTTGAGGTGGGTAGAATATAGTTGTGCAATAATTGGCTGTTGATTGCTGGTGTTGACTTCTTGATGTGTAGTGCCTCGCAAACGTCAAGCCGCCTGCTATCGCTGTATCTATCGATGATTTCTGTGTTGTTTACTAGGATTTCTCTGGCGATGGTTTGGTTATGGGAAGAGATTATATGTTCCTTAATGGAGCCCTGTTGCTTATGCATCGTTAAACGCCTAGAAAGAGATGTTGTTGTCTTGCCTATATACTGGGTTTTTTGGAGCTTACAGTCCCCAAGTGGGCATTTGAAGGCATAGACGACATTAGTCTCTTTTAAAGCGTTCTGTTTTGTGTCTGGAGAGTTTCTCATGAGTAGGCTGGCCGTTTTTCTGGTTTTATAGTAAATCGTCAGTTGTATCCTCTGATTTTTGTCTGTAGGGATAACGTTTCTATTAACAATATCTTTCAGGACCCTTTCCTCCGTTTACGGAGGAAACGGAGGAAAGGGTCCTGAAAGATATTGTTAATAGAAACGTTATCCCTACAGACAAAAATCAGAGGATACAACTGACGATTTACTATAAAACCAGAAAAACGGCCAGCCTACTCATGAGAAACTCTCCAGACACAAAACAGAACGCTTTAAAAGAGACTAATGTCGTCTATGCCTTCAAATGCCCACTTGGGGACTGTAAGCTCCAAAAAACCCAGTATATAGGCAAGACAACAACATCTCTTTCTAGGCGTTTAACGATGCATAAGCAACAGGGCTCCATTAAGGAACATATAATCTCTTCCCATAACCAAACCATCGCCAGAGAAATCCTAGTAAACAACACAGAAATCATCGATAGATACAGCGATAGCAGGCGGCTTGACGTTTGCGAGGCACTACACATCAAGAAGTCAACACCAGCAATCAACAGCCAATTATTGCACAACTATATTCTACCCACCTCAAGACTCCGCTCCAATATAGAAGCATCAAGAAATATGGACCAATAGGCTTTCTACAAACACTTCTATTCAATACCCATTGTTTCTGTTCTGTCTTGTGTTGATACTTTTAATACCCTATTAATATCCCCTCCTGTTCTGTCTTGTGTTAATGCCACATCACCCTTCCCACCTCACTCAAACGTAGATATAAAATCAGAGATACGTTCTAATCAGTTGTGTATTTGTGAAGTCTTTGAAAATGTAATAAGTTTTACGAAACGCGCCCGTGTCGCGTCAGACTAGAAATAAAAATGAATTTTGGAGAAGTGATTTTTGATTTACCTCCAACAGTGAAGCGTAATGTACGAAAGATTGAGAAAATTCGTGTTAGAATTATTAATCTTACTTTTTCGGTCATATTTAATAATATATGTCTACAGGAAAGAGTGCTACCAAAATATACTAATATATATATATATATATATATATATATATATATATATATATATGCCTCACCTGTGAAAGGAAAATTTGTTTTTTCTGAAAAACAGCACCATCTGTTGGATGTAAGAGCTACACATGCTATACTAAATATGTTATGATTCTAATTCAATGTTTCCGATTGCATTGATAAATTGAATTTTCATAGATTTCGATTTATTTTTTATTTAATTATTTTTTGTAACATTGTGTTAGAATTGAGCTGTGTTGTTTATTATACAGTTCATTTCATAAGTATAAGTTTAGATGCCACACCTGTGACAGGTAAAAACTTTTTTTTAAGAAACAGCGCCATCTGTTGCACATAAGAGCAACATATGCTATACTACTTTTAGGCACACGAGTTTGCCTAAAAGTGCAAACCGGGTTAAATAATAGAATATCTTTGAACCAAACTTGCTGTCTCTGTTTTATTCTCCATTAATTATATTATTTTACCAAAACTATATTTAATACATACTACACTAAATACCCATATTATCACAGCGCTTTCTTTTGATAATTACTCTACATTCTTTATCATGCAGTACTACGTCAAGGCCGTGCCTCCAGAGGATCAAACACAAGACTCGCTAAAGAAGGCTAAGTGATGGTCTCCTAGTGGGGAGGCTCCGCACTAGTAAGAAGCCCCCGAGCAACGTCACACAGATGGCGCTCCACTCGCCTACTCGCCTACAGAGTCAATGGGGCCCCAAAGGCGCCATACCAATATGTTTTGTCGCCTGTTTATTCGTCATTGGCCACTTTGCAGGTGAGTAATTCGTGGTTCACGTTTCCGTTGTGAGTATCCATACAGAAAATTGTAACTAACTTCATTAATTTATACGTTGAAATGTAATTATTATCAAACAATTATAATATATTTCCGAAAGAGTTTATTAGATAAGCAGGTAACAATGTCTTACTGCTTTGTCCTGTACAGTTGTTGTTTGTTTCTCCCTCTTTGCATTGACTTTACTTGTGAAACAATTATGGAGAGTCTTAGCCCTAACTTCTTGCTGCTATTACAGCCCGTCCTCCAAACAAAGACCCAAAAGTGATTCCATGCACCTGCCAAAACCACCTGTTTAGAAATGAAAAGCGGTTTACACATGACTCACAACTGATTTCGTTTGAACACTTACGGAACGAGTGCTTCACTGACGAATTGTGTTCGAACCACAACGCTGTAAATGCTTCACCCACGTATTATAAATACAAATAATTGCCAACAGAACCTAAACACCTAACCTAACCTACCCCTGTATAAGCACAATATGCTAATATATTATAATATTAATTTATATGAGAAAATTCCTGTTTAGAATGAAGAGCTGTAAAAATTTGTGAATGCGTCTGTGGGGTCGACCACTGGATGTAATGGACTTGAGTCGAGGACGGGTATATTAGGTCATATAATCCCCTGATAGTTGTTTTAGTAGTGAACATTTTAATGGTCTAAGAATACATCCACAAAGACCGTGATGAGAGTTCGAACTTACGTCCAGGATAATCCTAGACGCGCCTGAATCGACTGAGTCACGACATGGCAAAAGAATTGAAACCGGGATTGCTACTGCTCTCACACGGATCCCGCAGTCTCTCCGAGACACTCTTGAGTTATCTGGAGGTATATCTTGAGATGATTTCGGGGCTTAGCGTCCCAGCGGCCCGGTCCTCGACCAGGCCTCCTTTTTGTTACACATCCCCCAGGAAGCAGCAAGCACCTGTATAACTCCCAGGTACCTATTTACTGCTAGATAACAGGGGGCATCAGGGTGAAAGAAACATTTTGCTCATTTGTCTCCACCTCCACCAGGGATCGAACCCGGAACCTCAGGACTAAGAATCCGAAGCGCTGTCCACCCAGCTGTCAGGCGCCTGCTAATTTAACCAAAAGACAGAAACCGGAGTTTTACACAATTCCCCCCCCCCCCCAGAAGTTATAACTGTATAGTAGTGTAAATCCAGAGTTTAAACTGTAAAAAGTCTTTGGTTAACTCTGCAGATAGTATGGGTCCCAGCACCTATGCCTGACGTACTCCTTCTTACCCTTCACCAATCTGACTTCTCACCCCTCACTGTGAGGGGTGAGAAGTGAGAAATACCTATTCCTAACTGATAGGTATATCTTTACCTATGTCAGCGCTTTTCCACTTACTCCTGCCTGCCTTTATATGTAGTAATATATTGTATGATACTATGTCAAAGGATTTTTGGCAGTCTAAAAATGTACTATCTACCTTGTTCTGATCTATTTTCATTATTTTGCTACAAAACTCCAGTAGGTTTATCAGGCCCGATTTTCCATACCCAAATGGTGATGTTTGTTTACATACCTAATTCTCTGTAGGTGTGTAACTAGTCTTATCCTTATTATTCTTTCGAGCACTTTGCAAGAGATGTATTGTGAGTCAGTGATACTGATCTGTAGTTAAGAGCCTTTCTTGTAAATTGGTTCCACATTTGCCTTCTTCCAGCAGTTGAGAAACTCTCTCTTTATAAATGGTTTATTAATGATCATTGCTAGAGGTATGCGGAGGTCTTTTTCTGCTTCTTTTAACATCCACGGTGATACGTTGTCTGATCCAACAGTTCAGTTTATATGAGTGATGCTAGTTGTTTCCTAACTTCCTCTATTACTATTGTCAGAAAACCCGACACCATTTACTAATATTAAATACAATATGCAGATAATATTGCGGCTGATGTATACATAAATTCACTCATAGAAGACGTGGCGCAGTGGAATTTTCCGTCAATAGAAAACGAGGTATCATTGCCACATAGCGCTATTAATTCACCAGCTATTATGTTCTGGACTTTTAACATCATAAAAAATTTGAATTAACTTAATTATCAGTACCAAAATAGAGTAAATGTGACCTTTCTACCACCTGTTGACATGTGGCCAATAGAGCCAGAGCGACAGTGGAGGGAAGAGTCAGCCATTGTTGTTAAGATAACAGGTCGCTGTGGCGAGTTCTGCCCCTATAATTCTCCCTTGGACAGCTGTGTCACAGGAGTAAAGTGCTTCTGTTATCGACACGCAACTACGTCTACTATAAGGAAATTGTATTACCGAAACCCGTTTATTACCACATTTCTGGCCAGTTATGTTAGGTAGGTAGATATAGGGCAAACCGGTTAGCACGAATGGAAGCAACTAAACCCAGGTAATTATTCATTGATCCTTATCTTATAAATAATATATCAATATTTCCTCTGTTATAACTGTCATATATTTACGATTCCTGCTATTACAGCAAGTGCCCTTTGACAGGAACAATTAAAGAGGAAGCAAGAATTAATCCCAGTAAACCAGTACATGATTGTATAAACAATCCTCAACCACGAGGAATGTTTGGTATCATCATCCTTGTTTATACCTGGTGAACTAGGCCTACCATAAGATAAGACTTCTCAATTTCAATTGCTAATAGCAGTTTGATTGGCTGCATACATATAAATTTAATATACTCCCCAAATGTGCAAGGAGTCGATTTGTGAGAATATTGCAGAAATACAGTCTGCTTAACCTCATACAAATTGCTATCGAAATATATAAATTAACGTAAATATAAACACTATAAATTCATATAAATTAAATAAATATAAATCTCACAGGTCGGTTCTCCACATTACTTGGTCCTTTGAACCAAGATAGCACAGAACCGGTTCGAATCTCTCAAATCATTTGATCATTCGAACCTAGATGGTCTAGAGAGCTAGATTATCATCAAATTGATTAAACTAGTGAAATAAATTAGTGAACAATACATTGCCAGTCAAAGACCGGCCGCGGTGACCCGCTATCTGCTCACGACCCCCAGCCGAACCTCACTGAGACTTCAAGGTGCTAATGCAAGGTGCTTCAAGCGACTTCAAGTCACTTCACAAAGTCTGTGAAGTGACACGCTTATTTTAAAGCCAGCCAAATTAGTGAGCTGAGCCCTCGCAAGTTAATCCACGAATTTTGTGGTGTTTATTTCGCGAGGTCACTAGTAAGATTTAATATTTCTAAATAATTCTTGAGGCTATCGTCAACAATTGTGTATATTATTTCTCTTAAATAGAGAATTATTTAAAATATATATTGCACTAGTTTTCTCAATATAATATTTACTACTTGTCAACCCACTACAGGGTAGGAAATACATTGACTAGTGTTTATTGATAACCTAGTCCCCTATTAACATTCACTAGTTGAACTATTTATTGTTCATCCTAGTCAGACTTATTACCATAGTCTAGTTATACTTACATTGAAAAACCTAGCACCATTAATTAATGGTGCAGACCCTATTTTGGGTGTAATTAATACCAGCTCGAGTTGAGTTGTATATATATAATAACTTATGATCTTTGCACGTTTGGGTGATTAATTATTGTCTATACCATCCTAGGGTGATAATTGAGGAGCTAACCTAAAGCTAGGAGCTAGCCTAGGATAAAATTCTGCAATCACTAGGATATAATCCAACCTCTTCTAGAGGTTAGCACTTAAAATTAATACACATCATATATAATCATACACACTAATGATTTGAGTGATAAACCAGTGTCACTGGAAGTACTCCAGTGACACTGGTTTATCACTCAAATCATTAGTGTGTATGAATATATATGATGTGTATTAATTTAAAGTGCTAACCTCTAGAAGAGGTTGGATTATAGCCTAGTGATTGCAGAATTTTACCCTAGGCTATTCCATCAGTGCTTGTTCAGTATTATGAGCAACCCAAGTACAAGCCCCCACATGGCTTAATCAGTTAGCCAGAATGGATAATGCTGGCAATGAGAAAACTGACATACATCTAGTACTACAATTGCTGGACTTACCTCAACCTTATCAGACTGCTGACTCATTACAATCCTTCAGCATGGAGTTTGAGTCACTAATAAAACATTCAGTCTTAAGGTTGATAGAACCACTAGTGAGTGAATGACCAAAGTAGTCCTTCAACGAAAGTTGTCCAGCGATATACTAGATGAATTATACACACATCAACATAACACCATCCTGGCAGTACAGGACATCACTGAAGGTTTACGTTCTATCATAGACAAACGACGTGCAAATGAGGAAGTTAAAGCCTCTTGCGAGCCTTCAGAAATAGAAAATAAGAGTAAATTAAAGGATAAAACAACTACAAATAAACATCAGCCAAATACTTTCACACCAAGTTGGAGAAAATCTGGCAATTATGCAATTAAAACAAGAGAGGTTGACAGCCCTTCATGAGAGCATAGCTATAAATGACGAATGTGACTGTCCCTTCACCACACAAGAACTAATCAGGAGCCAAAAAAGGTGGTAAGGGCACTGCACCAAGTGCTGATAACATTACATACTCAATGATCGCACATGCAGGTCCTGCTGGAGAACAAGGAATATTGGACGTCATCAATGCATCTTGGCAGCAAGGCAAACTACCGACCTTTTGGAAGAAATCAGACATCATACCGATTCCTAAGCTGAAAGAACCTGGCAGTTACAGACCCATTTCATTAACATCATGTATTAGTAAAACTGCAGAACGGATGGTCTTCAATAGTCTACTGTGGAAGACTGGAGACCTTCATAAACACATATTTGGCTTCTCTAAAGGAGTAGGTACTGCCAACTGCATAGCAACATTACTAGGAACAGTTAACTCAGGTCCAGCAATAATCTTCCTTGATCTAGAAAAAGCATTCAAACTTGCAAACCCGCAAGCAATTTACGCACCTTAGTTAAAAAAGGTGTAAAGGAAAATATTATTGCTAGGA